TCTTGTGGCTCATTGTAGCCTTTCTCTACCATCTCCCATACATCTTGCGCTCCAAGAAGGGCCTTCATCATGATGCTCCAATTGTCATAGTTGCTATTGTTGAGCGTTGGGACTTGGAAGGGGATCATACCATTGCTCGCCATCTCTTTAGAAAGAAACTTTGGCTCTGATACCATTTTGTTGGAAGATAAGAGGCTATTGTAAGATAAGAAATTTTAAAAGAGGAGGAATACTTGTAAAACTCACTGTTATTTCACTCTTGAACTTCTTGATTCTACTTCATACAAAACTCAAAGACACCACACATATTTATACTAGTGACTCCTCCATAGAATTGTGCCAACACATTTCAATTCAATGACTACTATTGACTCTCTAGAATATTCTCCTATCTTCATTCACAAAAGTCATTAATTTACATATTCTAGAATTCTCTAAATAACTATTTTAAAATATATTTCTAGAATACTCTAAAACATTCGTCATAAAATAGGACTCTAGAATTTTCCAAGGATTTTTCTAGACTATGTGCTCAATTAAAAAGTCTGCGCCTACGTGGGAACTCGCCGGGACGGGATTGCACGGGAGGCCGGAGGGGGAGCTCGCCGGGACTGGCTGACGCCGGTAACAGCGGGAGGAGAGCTCGCCGGGACTGGATTTTTTTTTTTTTTAATTTGACCGGCGGTCTAACCGCCGGCAAGCCGCCGGAATAATTTGCCGCCGGAAAAAACCGCCGGAATTTATTTTCCTACGCCGTTTTTTCAAAAACAACCCAACCGCCGGAACACTACAAAACCGCCGGAAAAAGCCGCCGGAAATGAGCGATTTTTCTGTAGTGTGCTCAATTAAAAGATCCAATTAACCAAGTTTAATTTTCAACAACACACAGGCATCGCTAATCATTTGATGTCACAACCTCCCATGAATCTAAAAAACAAGAGATGGGGCATGAGGCCTAAGATATATAAATATATACTTGACATTGATACTTAGTCAAAATCTAGCGAGCTTTAGCACAGGCCATAATTCTTCAAACAGTACTAACTGCTGTAAACTTTCCAATACTGTAGAACATTAATATCATTAGAAAACAAACAGCCAGACGAATGTGAAGAGAAGACGACCTGAATTCACTCACTGGTCATCACTACAGCGAAATACAGGCATTGCTTGCAGGTTTCCATATACGGAGTTCTCGACAGATGTCACAAGGCCTCACTGGCCTTTAAGTCGAGCTCTCTGACAAAGTAAAGCCCAGCGAAGTTAAGTGAGGGAAGACAAAGGGTAAATGGCGTTGTTATATATATATATATATATATTAAACTTTATGATATAGTTGTGGTGGAGAATTATTTGATGATAAATTTTCTCAGAGCAACGATCTTTACTTTATAGGTAGCAGATCTGTGTATTTTGGATGTTTAAATTCAAATTAATGCACAAACTTGAATTGGTCTGACTTCGCGCATTATTAGAACCCTAAAGAAAGAGAAAGCCATTGCAGTAATCTAACTGTTTCCAGCACAGTAAAAGCGATAGATTATCAAAGTAATTTATGCTTTGCTGTCATAACAATTCAGGGTGATCTTGTACAGATAACTATATGATATAAAATTAAGCAAGAAAGATAAACCGTTACAAACTGAATATAGATAAATATATGTTAGAGATCATATATGCATTTAATCTAAGATGCACATACATGGACACGGCGACACAGATATGACACGACACGGACACGGGACACGTCAATTATTGAAAATATAGAACACAGACACGGGTTGGACACGGTATTATAGTTTTTATATTTTAAAAATAGTGTATAAAAATTAAATAAGTATAATTTTAAAAATAATTTAGAAATAATAAGTCATTTAACTAAAATTTATGCTTAAAATGATTAGTATTAGGATGTCAAGAGTCAGGTGCCGATGCAATTTATCAGTTGCCGAGAGAGGAGATAAAAATGCATTCACTGTCAAAGAGAATTGGAAATGAGAATATTCGATGAATGGGTATTAAGTGCTGAGATTGATTTGGTGTTGTGGATAGGAAATAAGAAATTTAATTTAAATCCCGCAAAATATAAGAAATTATATAAAAAAAATTCATAAAATATTTAAGATACGCGTATCGGACACGCGTGTCTAATTTGTATTTAATATTTTTTAATCAGACACGTTTTCGGCATGTCCGACATGTGTCGGAGGAGTGTCAGACGAGTGTCGTGTCGGATACGCGCGTGTCGGATACTGCACGCCTCTTTGAGGAGAAGTGTCAGTACATCATAGCATTTAATTGACCATTGGGATTTGGAGAGAGCTGTTGAAGAATGCCTCAGCTTTCACACTTTGCTTATGAATACCTCTCTGAAGCCTTTGTAAAGGTATGACAACAAACATGAAATTTTGAGCATAATTTGAGAAGTTCTTTTTTGAGAGATTTCAAGCGCTCACCATATGAAGTTTCTAGCTTAAATTATTTATGCTTTGTTTGGAACATTTTTTACTATTTTCTAAAGCAGCTTTCTAATACAAAATTTTTAATTCAAGAAAATTTTTAGTAGAAAACTGCTTTGGAAAGTAGTAAGAAAGTTATCTCAAACGAAGCCTAAGTCTTCAAATTTTTAAATTCTTCTATTATTACATATTCAACATTTATTTTTTAGAAGATTTTGTTGGTTTAAATTAGTTGGTTTATTCACAACCAAAGTGGGAGAGAATTTTATATTAGGCTTTATGTTCTAACCTTTGCTTATTCCAATTCTTGTAGGACTTGGTGGAGCATTTTGTTTGACGAAGCTTGTGTGATACATCTTTCCTAAGTGATACATCTTTCGTACTCATCGAAAAATATAAAGAAACTAAGGCTTCGTTTGGGACGGTTTTTGTATTGCTTTCTAAAACGGAGTTTTAGTACAAAAATAAAAAATGTTGTATTAAAACTCCGTTTTAGAAAGCAGTAAAAAAGTCGTCCCAAACAAAGCCTAAAATAGAGTGGTTTTTTTTCACATTATATATACTTGGTGGTGGATCTTTTAATGTTGGATCATTAGCCACTCATAGGTAGAGTAGATAGTAACTTTTTGGATGAAAAGTTTTAGATTTTGATATATATGCTGATGGATTTTACATTAGTAATATCGACTGACATATTTTCAATGACCAAAATATATTGATGATTAAGCTGTTTGAAAGCAACTATAAATTTCTAGTGAATTTTTTCCTTTAATATTTAATTGTTCTCCTGCGGTTATTAGGCATCCATTGAGCTTGTGCTTGGACATGGAGAGCAAAGAAAGGTGAAATGGAGAGGAGAGTAAATTTTTGAGTATACAAACCCCTTGCCTAGGGTGGTAGGTTCGTGAAGCTCTAGTAATGCATCTAAAGGTACACTTAGGCTTCATTTGGACGGCTTTCTTACTGCTCATTAAAGCTGCTTTCTAGTACAAAAATTAAAATTTTTGTACAAGAAAGCGGCTTTAAGAAGCAGTATGAAAGCCGTCCCAAACGAAGCCTTAATTTCTTTCTCTCCTTTAATGGCATATCAAGTTGGTGTTCATGCAAGACTCCCATAATGAATTTTTCCTCTCCTCATAATACTCATGAAAAATGACTCTTATACATAAGGGAGCTTAAGAGACTCTTTTGGCTCCACAGGAGATGTGTGTAGGCTGAATTTTTCCATGATATAGAGTTATTCATATGTTTATGCTAGGAAATGATTTATTGATGGACCCGATCATAAGCTCAACAAGACATGCTGATTACTCTAGAATTGTATTTATAGAAATATATATGGTGGAAATATATGACCTTATAAGGAGCCTAATAGAGTCTCATCACTCCTAAAAATTTCATAGGTAAGAGAGGAGACCTAGGAATCCTTTTGCTACACATTCTAATAATTTTGATATTATTGATGGGTTCTTGGCATGCTCAATACCTTGTTAGTGCAACCAAACTCAGTGTTTTGATGTGGGCTTATTTGAGTTAATAACCTTATGTAATTGAAGCAAACATGAACATGCCTTTGAATAATGAGCCTGATTTAAAATGATGGTCAACAATTACAATGGAGCTACCAATTAGATTTGAAGATTAATAGCCACAAAATTGAAGCAATTTGCAATTTTAATTATTCTACCAAATCGATGGTGCTTATTTCATCCCATAAAAGTCTTCTTTACCTACAAAACACATGTTGGAAGACATTTCAATGCCTATATCGGTAAGTATACGCGCTCACATGCATGTACTAATATTCAAGTCAATTTTAATTAATATAGATTTCACCTACAAATTGATAATTGAAAATTAAATCATTGATTTTTACTAAATTTTTTGTTTTACAATTGATGTTGTCCCGCACATTAGGCGGGCATTTAAATTCAAATTCAACTCAAGATAATGGTCGCTTATGAAACCAAACCTGTTAGATTCCACTCCCTAATAAAAAATGCACGCTTTATATTATAATTTAATCAAATAAGAATCCTAATTTATTTTAAAATTTTAAAATGTTAATGATTAATTCCTACATATATAATGAACTTACACCTACTCTATGGTTTCAATCTCTTGAATCTACAAAACTAAAAATTTACCTATTCACTTTAATTTTAATTACTAGAATAATAAAACCACTATCCTAATTGTATCTAATAGACATCTGAACATAAATTTTAAACTCTTCAAATACCTTCAACCAAAGCAGTCTATCTGAAACTCATAATAACATCACTTGTTGTTCCAACCAAAACTGTTGAATTGGTTCAACTTTTCTTGAAAGATGATTTTGTAATTTCTTGCTGGTTTAATTAATTTCCATCCATCCATTTAAATTAGCCATGATATATAAGTAACAGAAATAAATAGAAAAGACAAAACAATAGGAAGAATGCATATAAAATTATTGATGGGAACTTCAAGCAAAAGGATGTACGTAGCTTCATGAGCGGCAAGGGACAGCATTTTTATATTGGACCCAACTCCCTTCACACTTCCTCTTACCTCTATATATTGCCTCATTTCTTCATTTCTCCACATTCCACCTCTCATTTCCTATCTTCCTCTCTACTCAATTTAAGCCATGGCCATCAAAATCTCATCCTCCCTCTTCTCCTTCCTCTTCCTCTACCTCCTCCTCTCCTCCATTAATGGTCTCTTCTTTCTCTCATTCTCCCATTCAAATATTCTTTATAACCTTTCTCATTGGCTGATTTTTTCTCTTGCTTTATGTATTTGCAGATCTTGTTGCATCCTCAAACTCTTCTGAAATCAATAATGGTCTCCAAGCAAAGGTATATTAATATTGTTGACAGCCTCAAGATTTCTTAAATAACTTTAATTTTTCTGAAAGTATACATTGCATGTGTGTCTCTGATCTATCTATATAAAATTATTATGTTCTATTTCACACAGCATAACAGAAGAACTGTACCGACACAAATTCGAGATGATTTGAAGCTGAAGGAGAAGATGAGTAGCAGTGGAAGAAGGCTGATGATAGGTTCCATGGCGCCTCATTGTACCTTTAATGAGTGCAGAGGTTGCAGGTTTAAATGCCAAGCTGAACAAGTGCCTGTCGATACCAATGACCCTATGAACAGTGCATATCGATACCGTTGTGTTTGCCATAGATGAGTTAAATTGGATTAATGGAAGATGATGGTTGAACAACAAAGATGGAGAGAGAGAGAAAGAGTATGTGTATGTGTCTGTTAGTAATTTGATGGAAGTTTTTAAGTAGTAGTTTATAGCTAGATTTTGTTTTGTAGTAATGCTTTTGTTTAGGAGATTGAAAAGGTTTTGGCATTACCATGAGAATTCATATGTAGATGTACACCTATATATTTATATTTGTTATGTGGTGTCTAGCTAGCTAGTTGCTAGCTCATCTTGTAAAATAGTTATTAGAATATGTGTTAAGATAATGTTTTTTTGCAAGGTCTAGTATATGGTTCCATGCTCCTCATTCTCCCACATCACTATCTCTCTCTCTCTCTCTCTCTCTGTGACAAAAATCCTATATATTAGAAAATTTTCAGAAAGTAAAAGTGGCAATCTTTTCAATTAAATCTTTTTTTTTTTTTTTTTTGCAGTTAAGGATCAAGTCTCTACTATAAATAAAACTTTATTTTTTGTAAATTTTTTATCAAAATGCTTAAATTTCATTGGACATTTTGACCTGCCGTTTAAATTTTTTTCATCTAAAATTACATTTCAATATGGTAAAAAAAAATCGCGTACAGTCATAAATTTTGATTAAAATTTGAACGCTGCTTCACAATTTAAATATCCCATTGTCTGAATCCCTCTGACAGCTCGGCTTTAATTTCATAAAAATTTGACAGTTCTAAGAGTTCTTATTAAAAATCCTAATGAAAATTATAATCGAAGTAAGAACTTTTTAACCTTTCACAAAGAATTTCAATGAAAAAACTTTTTTTAAAAGAAAAACTTAGCTAACTGCTCCAAAAATTTCCCCAAAAAAAAAAATTTTAACGGAACGTCTGCTGCTCAGTCTGCCGAGAAGAGTTACTAATTGTGAATTGGTACTGTTCATCTTCGAGAAGGGTAAAAGGTGAAAAGGGTAGACCAGTCTGGGCATTATGGGATCTAGTGCCAATGTTCTCTGCACACTGATTTGCAGAGCCTGCTATACTGTAGATTCCTCGTGCAAAGGCTGAGAATGTAATTTTGTTAACTGTGAAGTAAAAACATTTGATACTGGAAGGATTGCCAGGGTTTTTCTCGACCGATTTTTGATAGGACAACGATGAATGCTGTATCCTTACAGCTGCTCCTTGGACAATCGTCCCTGGCAACCATGGGCTATACTCTCGTGCCGTCCCTTCAAAGAATTCTACTATTTTTGCACAGAGTATCCTGAGTCCTCCTTAGCTTCGGCTAAGCTTGTTGTATTTTTTATCCTTTTGGGCTTTTGTATTTTCATTCTTTTTTAGTCTTAGGTTCTTGTTTTGTTGTTGAGAATATAGACTATAGTTTTTCTTTTTCACATGTAACTTCTTTACATCAATGAGGACTTTGCCCAAAAAATTCCCAAAAAAAAAAAGTAAAAACATTTCTTTTATCAAAATCTGATTTTTTTGTTTTCTTATTTTTATTCTGCAGTGTATATAAAGAGAGTATATATGTTTGACATGTGTAACCAACTGCTCAACACATAATTGATCCCCCCTTTTTTTGCTGTTGCATATCAGCCTTGGTTTTTGTCCTGGTGTCTTTTTTGGTTCTTTATAACAATCCTTTTAGTAATTTATTTTGAGCTTATGCTCTCAAGTCTCAACCCCACAAGAAAAGGTAAAAAATATGTAGAATTGTGTGTTTTACCTATAATAATTATGTATTGGTGTGGAGATCAAGAGATCTTAGAAGAAATTAAATTCATTGATTTTTAGTATCTCAAGGAAACATATAATGAATAAGCAAAAGTGTTATCTCTATCAAGATCTTTGGTGGACAAAAATGCCACCCAAATGAGGGTTAACACATGTTTATTCTTTTAAATAACCATTAAAGAGGTAAAACAAGTACATTTTGACATAATGCATTTCCCATGTGTATCATCATATAGAGGATGGGTTTGATGTGTGTTATTTCTTTGGTTTGTATTAGGCCTAAAATATTACTAGGCTTAGTGTATTCCTGTGCATGTCCATATTAGTACATTGGTTATCTCTATCAAGATCTTTGGTGGACAAAAATGCCACTCAAATGAGGGTTAACACATGTTTATTCTTTTAAATAACCATTAAAGAGGTAAAACAAGTACATTTTGACATAATGCATTTCCCATGTGTATCATCATATAGAGGATGGGTTTGATGTGTGTTATTTCTTTGGTTTGTATTAGGCCTAAAATATTACTAGGCTTAGTGTATTCCTGTGCATGTCCATATTAGTACATTGATAAGGCTAAATCATGTCTCTTCTTTAATTTGTAGTAGGCTTAGTATAAACAAAATGTCTAAAGCTACCCCCGGGACGTACCGTTATATATGCCATGGCTTACATGCACTATTTATTTTGTTTACATCAAGCCAGGTAAATATGCTAGGTATGGTACATTTCATGCATGTTCACCTTAATATATATAAACCCCATGACTAGAAAGCGCAAGTTTTCAAGTGTGTACCGAGCCTAGTATAGATATGAAGCTCAATGCGCTATTGTAGCATGTCCACCTTGGTACATATGCCAAGATTAACATTTTTTTTTTTTCATCTTAATGCATACACAAGCTTTTGGGTTTACATCATGTCTATTATAAATGTTAGGCTTTATGAACTCTCTACGTATTTACCTTTTCACAATATTAAAGTCGACATACACTAGTTCTTTTGGTGTTGTAAGTACCATAGTAAAGATGCTAGGTTCAATACATTTTTGCATCTCTAAATTGGTACATATATAAGGCTCAACATATATCATTTCTTAGGTTTATACTAGGCTTAATTAATTATATTCTAGGCTCAATGTATTTTTATTGCTTGCACTCAAGCATTCATGCCAAAGTTAGCATATTCTCCTTGCTTTTTTCATGGTATATAAATGTTAGCACTGACATGAGGCTCTATATTATGCTTAGCAGCCATTGAGTTTGACACTCTTTCCTGGACCAACCAATTTAAGTTTAGAGCACTCTAACTTTTTCTTGATTCAGTACATTATTATTTCAAATCTTGGCTATTTTTTATATTGTTGAGTAGTAAACACCAAAAAAATTCATGTTCCTTAATCAAATACCAAATATATTTGGGTTTAATTCATTGAACTCATTTTTAGACTCATCAAGAATCAATCTGTAACATTTCAAACCATTATGGTATTTAAAATTTATCAGATGTCTTGAAATGTAGGCTTTATAATTTTGACCTAAAATCTCCTTGTCATTAAATTCTTATTATTAGCTCCCTTATAGTAGCTTCTTATAGTAACTTCCAGCACTTTGGTCCCATGGATGATGATTTCTTGTCATCCTAGCTTATTAGCTTGCACACAACTTGTCATGTGGCCCTTGACTTAATAGCATCCACCAACAAAACTGTAATAATCCAAACTCTTAACTATCAAAGTATTGTTTGCTTTAGCTTAAGGGCCTCACAATTTTATCTTGTTGGTGTAACTTTCTAAGCGGTCACTCATCCCAGAATTACTCTGGGATATTGCTTAACTGTGAAATTTCTTAATGAAATTCTAACCATTACATCAAAAGAAGTCTCGATATTTAAGAGTTTAATTTTTTTTACTTAAGGGGTTTATTAATCTCTCCTACTTAAGTAACTGACATCCTCGTCAGTATCATTATCCTAGAATCATTTACAAGATAGATATGATTCTAAAGGTAGCCTCTACAAGTTCAAGTGGTGACTCCCGCCACATAGCACTTTGTCTCATATAGGGTTCAAGGCGACTCCCATGGCATAACACTTTATCTTGTATGACACTTAGTTCATATCTTCCAGCTGGTGTATTACTTTGAAATCATTTTTAACATCTCAAACTCTTAATTATTAAGATATTATCTACTTTGGCCTAAAGTCCTCACAGTTTTATCTTGTTGGTGCAACTTCCCAAGAGGTTATTTATCCCAAAATTTCTCCGAGATGAGCATGTTTAATTGCATAATTTCTTAATGAAATTCTAACCATTACACTAAAAGGCGTCTCATTGTTTAAGTGTTTAACTTCTTTTACTTAAGGGATTTCATAAGAACCCTCAACATCCATGGTATCAACTTATCATAAAGTCACCATTTTAACTTCATTATTTTTATTTTGGTCAATTTGATTTTCCATCTTTATAAGTTGTCCCAACATGGCTAACTTAAATTCACCTTCATCAAAATCTCAACATCTTTTCTAACTCAATTAAACTATGTTAACTTCAATTCACCTTTGTTGATTGCTCATAATTTTGCTTCATTTTTAAAAAGTCATTTTGAGGGGATGATTTCATAGTTCTTTTCTTAAACCTGTCAACTTCTCCCTGACCCATTAGCAACATTTCATATAGTTGGGTGACATGATTGCCACCCTAGTTTATTAAATTGTTCATAACTTAGCTTGATTATCCTAATGTCATCCCTAGGGCCACTACTTATCAAAATATTTCACTACATTTATTTTATCAAAATTTGATTTATAATAACTACGAGATCATTCAATAAATTTTTCTACTTTTATCGATCATTATGCCAAGTGTCAATATATCATATAAATATATTATAGTAATATATATGTTGTATTAATATCTATCAGTGGTCTCTGCCTCATACTATATCATGTAATATAAGTCTTAATAATAATTCAGTTATAAGTTCTATATTTATCAATCAATTCATATGCTCTTATATAAATGCATGCAAATATGGATACAATCATGAATAACAAGACATGACATACAACTAGCTACAGTGTTTTAAAATATCTTTTATCAATGTCAAGTGTCAGGTAGCTATCCTGTAAGAATCGTCACTCTTACCCATCAGTGTATCTTGTCCCGTTATAACTCCCTATCTTGTATTTTATATCTTGTATAGGGATTGCACCATAACCCATAATTTAAAGGAAAGCATATTTGCCCACCTTCCAATATATGTATTTGTCTTCAGCTAACCCAAATATTTTTTCAACTAACCAGCCTTTCTTGTAATGCCATAATTATATTACATCTGTCATATCATTTTTTATTAAATTTTAGTAGAATATATGAAATGTAATAATCAATGAAATGCTATGAATGTCTATCAATTTATTTATTTTTTATTAACTTCAAAAAAGTCATAACTATCAATTTACCCGATAAAATTACATAATATTACAATCATAATTCTACTAATTATTAATCATATCTACCATATATAAAAAATTACATGATAAAAATATGATAAATTAGAAGAAAATATAGTTTTATCAGTTTTTTGAGGA